CATTACGCCTGAATGACTTCATAATCTTAATGGTTTAGAATAGGCTTTCTGGAATAGGCATTTTAAAACCTAACAATTTACCATCAAAATGTACTAAAAACACAAAAAGCTCGCATTATATTAGTTATCGAACACACATTTAATCATCAATTATCATTTACAAAGAAAAATTTAGATACAACTTATTAATAATTACGTTAGAAATTGGGATCAATGGTTTGTGAGTAGAGAAAATGGCGTCGGTTGAACTCATTTTGTGTCGCCAATAGCAACGGAGTAGTATCACGTAGTATCGTGACGGGCGCATCATTTTTTTGCGCATTATTTTTTTCCCATACACTTAAGGCAGAAATTACAGAGGGCGCCATTCTATGTCAGTTGGTGAACTCATAAGCATGAATACGCATGCAAACTTCCCCTCGCGAGTTGCGAAAGAAATGCTCGCTGCTTGTGGAATATGAAATTGCCTGTGATGTGAAAGCTACGGTGTACTGTAGTAAAGGTAGGCCAAAATATCTTGGTAGTTGGTCGAAACAGTACTGTAGTCGACACAGTGAAAATTAATGGACTAATGTTTAGTATTGTAATTATAATATCCCTATGCCTAGAGACTGTTTACGTACAGCACGGTCGTTGAAAGTTGTATAAAAAGCAGCGTTGAATCTAGTCGGCTATTTGGGTAATGCAGCAATGTAAAATAGGCTACAGTATGGCATACATACGGTATATAAGGGAATTATTTTAGAAGAAAGTTCTATGTATTGTTATAATGTTGATTTTCCACAAACATTTCGTTCATATTCAAAATAAATGGCCAGGGTTGAATTCGAGTCCAAGTAAGCAGCGGGTACTGCAGTGTTGATTGTAATTGTTATTGTCGTGATGGAATAATAGACAATAACTGGATTTGCGTCAGGAGAAACATGTATAGGTGTAATTTTGCCCTACCTGACGTGGAAATGTACCGAATACTTTTTGGGATATTATTACAATTATAGACCATAAATTTTCGCACTGTCTTAACTACCAAGGCCTATATAACAGATAACGGCCTACTAGTTTCCATCCACGCATAAAGTAGCTTACTCAATACACTCTGAACTCTGTTTCGCGAGGTGGAGGTTTGGTATGCATATTCATGAATATCGCTTTTCCGAACTGACCTAAAATAGCGCCCTCTGTAAATTTCTGCCTTAAGTGAATGGGGGTAAATAATAACGCGCCCCGCGCCCAGTGCGCACTGGTTAATAGTTGGATTTGTATAGCTTTTATGCAAACAAGACTGTGTGCTTGGTGATTGAGCTCTTATTCCCCCTTCACACATTCACGATTTTTGCTACGATAGATCATGATTTTCAAAAGTTCTAATCGTGTCCTAGCATTAGTGATTTATCTCAAAAACTTAGTTCAATCGAATTATTTTTACGTTTTTTCAAGACGCCGTCAAGATGTATTGCAAAGGCAGTAAAGCGATAGTCAGACAACATTGCTACGAATTATAACGATAGAGTTACGACAATTGTTACGATTTGCCATGACGTACTATGAAGACGCCTGTTTGATTTAGCTAATCACATGACAAAAGAGGCACAATTTACGCCTATTTGAATGTTGTCGTTGACGCCATAGTATTTGGTAATTCACCAAGTTCAAAAACTTGCAACATATATGCAAGCTACTGCGCTAGGTGTTCTGGCCACTAAGAATGAGTATGAATGCACAAGACGCCGTCACGACAAACGGCAACATTACTGCAGTACACCAATATTTGTCCACAGCTACAATTGAGCATTATTTGTTTTTTAAATTTCGTGAAAAAAAAAAAAAAAAAAATCGTGCTCTATCACGATGGCATCAAGATCCACGATGCGCTATAGTGAGTAGGACACCACTGGGATTTTCAAAAAATAAATAAATCTTGCTCAATCGTAACAAAAATCGCGAATGGTTGAAAGGAGCATTAGAGTTGGATATTTTGGTAATGGGAATATATAAAAAAAAGAAAGATGTGGCCCTTTAAGACTAACTAAACCTATTCTTACACTAAAGCATGTTTGGCCGTTGACTCCGAGGAGTTCATTCTGCCCTTTGTTCAGCTGTCTCTTTTTTTTTTCTTTTGCTTGTTGCTGGGTAAACCACACTGTGATTGCCGGACAAAGTACAGCCGCCAGATTACCTCGGGCTATAATTTGTACAATGCCCCTCAACTCAGTAAATATTTGAAAAACAATAAACAAGAGAATACAATACTGTAATTTCTTTAATCATAGCGTTATCATTTGATTGCTTTATTAGTTAGAAAAATTGAAGTATGTTGGTCACGTGGTTGCTGCAGAAGTTCTACAGAAGTTTGTATCATCTAAGACGGCACGTATTTCAGACGTTGCAAGTGGAACAGGTCTTGTTGGTGAACAGGCGAGATTCAAAATATATTTAACATTTTAAAAATGGCTAGTCTTAGCCGCCTTTCCTCTAATCTCTTCTTTACTAGTAAGCGTTGTTGCTCCTCGACTGTCTTTTTATTCCATTCCGCTACGCCATACTGATTGATCAGAGCTTCCATCAGCAGTTTGTCCCTGTGAATAATAAAAAAGAAATGTTACTGAATGAACCATAAGGAAGGTTGCTGCAGGCAGCGCAAACCTCACAAGGTGCTTCTTCATTGCAAGTCCAACAGCATGGGCAAGCCAAATGCTTGCCGAACCTAACACTAGGCTTAGGCCGCCCCCACCCCACTCATCCAACTCGACGCAGCAAGCTTTGCTACGAGTGATTGAGATGGAACGAAACACAAAACAAACTCAAGTGAAACTTCCTTATTAAAACTTTAAAAAAATATAGTAAATCCAAACAAAGGAAATCCATTCTTCTGAATACTGTCCTTCTTCTTCTGTTTTCTACTATTCAATTTCAATACTCATTGAACTGCTTGGGTGTGGTTGTCGTTCGTTTATCAACTAAAAATTAATGAGGACGAACCTTGGGCGTGGGCTGTCTCTTATACACATCTTGTCTGTAATGTTTTTATTAAGACATGTAATTATTTTAAAAAGTGTATCTACTTTATTTTGTTGTTTTGAAAATGTCGACCGGCAACTGAAACAAATGGTGCCTGTTTGTAGTCGACAAAATTGAGTTTTTAAAGATTTCATTTTCTTCGAAATCTCATCAACTGCAAATAAATGTTTGAATGCTTGTAAGATTAGACGTGTGGTTAAAAATAATAGTTTATCTACACTTTTTTTTTTAATTTAGAAAAGTGTATCGCATATTGGTCTATTTGAAATGGGTTCATGCAAAATCCGGTGGAACAATTAAAACAAGAAAGGTCTTTTTCTATATGAAAAAACAAAAACAAAAACAACAAATATACACGAATGCATTTTATACTTGACAATGTTTACATGAATCAGCTGTCAAATATGTTATAAAAATGTATTAATTTAATATTACGCGAAGGCAGCAGCATACTTTTGATAGAATTCATAATTTAACACTACACTGCAGAGGGACTTTCTGAAAAAGGAATTTAGCTTTTCTTGACCTCAACCTAGACCCTAGATAAATGTTATACTGTTAAAAAAAGTTGTACAAAACGAACATCAAAAACAATGCACACTCCTAAGAATTACTGGATTATTTATAATTCGTAAAAATGGATTTTGGAAGTGAGATCTGCATGCCAGTTAGTTGTCAAGTCTTTACTCGTCGTACGTAGAGTTAGACGTAGGCTAGTAGGCATGGCATAGAAAGCCTGCCTTTTTTCTACACTTTAGGCATAGCCTAGGCTAGCTAAAATATGGTAAGTATATGCTGTATTATTATTATTATTATTATTATTATTATTATTATTATTATTATTATTATTATTATTATTATTATGTGTTAGAATAAAAATCTGGCCTATGGCGTATATTTTTTAAAACAAAGAATAAAGTAATCTGCCATTAACAAAACATTGTAATATAATATCTTTTTTCATTTAATGCATCTTGATTACGATTAATATCAGGATCAACGTTTTCAGTTCCTTTGAGTTCCGAATCAGCATTTTTTTCGCGCTTTTTTCAGTTCCTTTCAGTTCTGCAAAAAGTTGAACATGGGCAACTGAAAGGAACTCAACTCAACTTGACTCATGTCGACAAATATGCGCGACTGTCAGTCCCTTTCAGTTGCGGTCAGTTCCTTTCAGTTGCGCAGAGCGCTCATGTCGACAAGTTGAGTTGAGTTGAGTTCCGTGTCGACCTGAGCCTGCCTTAACAGACATCTGCGCATGCTCACAAACCTTACTGGCTAAATCGGCGTTGTGACAGCTTCCGCGACTACCCCAATTTCTGAATTTGGCGTAGTGGCGGCTACCCTAATATTGACCAATCAGATCACCGGATTGTTTGGCAAACTGCTGGTAACTTTTTTGTTGGAGGTTGCAATTTTCATCGCATCCGCGATCGAGCATTGTTCATTCAATAATGAATTAATTATTAAAACAAGTGAGTAATTAAATGTTTTATAAAGGCCTATTTATATACATACAATAAATGAGGAATTTCGGAATAGTCACAACATATAATTAGGTAAATCAGTGGATAGTGAAAAAAGGACCTCTTAGCCTTAGGCCTAGGCTAGCCTAGCCTTGTCAATGTCAGGGGAGGGTGGATTTCGGGTAGGAGAAAACACATTATCTGGTGCCACTAGCTGGGCATCTGCGCCCATGGTGTCGTGTATCAAGCCTTGCTATATACATACCTCTGTTTTAAATTGTTATGTACATTTATTTTGTACATCATCGTTGCATTTGGCAAATTGCCTGAGCAGGCCTGACACCCCTCTTCTCCCGGTTCCCGACTGTATTGACACCT